GGGGCTGGAGGGAGGGGGGATGGGTCGGGGTGAGGGTGGGATAAATATTTTTTTTAAATAAGCTTTAAATTTACTTTTTCAACAAAAAAGTTGTAATTTGAAATTGGTGGAAAGTTTTGGAAAATGTTTTCCTTAATTTTTTAAGGAAGTCATTTTCCTTGAATTTGAGGAAAATGAGTTGATTTGGAAAACATTTTCCAAAACATTTAACCCAACCAAACATGAGAAAATTGGAAAACATTTTTCGGAAAATGTTTTCCTTCATACCAAACACACCCTTAGTTTTTTATGTATTTGATAATTACGTAAAAATATTATAAATTACGAAAATTAACAACTTAAAATATCTGGGAAAAAAACATATAAAAGATTTGATTAACTCTCAAGATTCTGTTGGTGTCACATAAAATTGGGACAGAGGAAGTAACATATATTATTTGAATGACGTAGAAAAACTATAAATTATATTAATAATTAACAACTCGAAATATTTGAAAGACATATAAAAAAATTGGTTGACTCTTGAAATTCTATTTATGCCACATAAATTAGGATATAGGGAGTATATATATTGTTGGAATATTACATAAATATACTATAATAATTAAGTGCTTAAAATATTTTTAAAAATATATAAAAATTTGAATGACTCTTCAAGTTCTATTTGTATCACATAAATTGAAAAATAAAAAATAGTAACATATATTGACCTCGTGCTAACACACTCATTTATCTAGTTTTTTACTAGAATTCGCAACTCATATGATCAATTATTTAATTTGGCACATGTAAGTAATTATATTTCATTTGGTAATAAATTCCCAAAAGAAAAGTGGAAAAATGTTAGTATTTTTTTTAGAAAAAAAATAAAGAGAATAATATCCTTCAAGGTTAGGGTTGTTTTGGTAAGTTGACTATAAGCAACTAGCTTCCTATTTTTATCATCCTCACATGAAACCTATTGTCTCTTCTTCCTTTCAAAGTCCAATTTCTCCCCCTCTCTCTCTCTCTCTCTCCTCTATATATCTCTATACAAAACTATATCATTCATTAGAAAAAAACACAACAAAAACTCTCATCAAAATCATTATACTAGCCACTATTATATAGTTTGTAAATTAATTATTCGACACAAAAAAATGATTCCAAATCCTCAAGAATCATCAATTTTACTCCAAAGAATCACTTCCAACAATCCTTCTAATTGTAACAAACAATCCCACCAATCACTACAGCGCCACACACCAATACCATGCACCGAAGAGGTACCAGATTCCGTCGTCAAATATCACGCGCATCTAGTGGGACCCAACCAGTGCTGCTCCGCCGCGATCCAGCGGATATCAGCACCGGTATCCACCGTATGGTCCGTCGTCCGTCGATTCGACAACCCTCAAGCGTACAAACACTTTGTCAAGAGCTGCCATCTCATCGACGGAGACGGTAACGTAGGCACTCTTCGTGAAGTCCGAGTTATCTCCGGGCTGCCAGCTGTCAACAGCACGGAGAGACTGGAAATACTTGACGAAGAGCGCCACGTTATTAGTTTTAGCGTAGTCGGTGGGGACCACCGACTCGCGAATTATAAATCTGTTACTACTTTACATCCGGAACCTTTAGGTAATGGGACGATCGTTGTGGAATCGTACGTTGTTGATGTACCAAAGGGGAATACTAGAGATGAGACATGTGTTTTTGTTGGTACTATTGTAAAATGTAATCTTCAATCGTTGAAACAGATCGCGGAGAATTCTAGTAGATGAAATGTTTCGTGAAATTAATTGAGGTCGGTCAATGATACTTGTATGATCGATATTATGCATCGAAGTTTTTTTTTTTTTTGGGGTATGATGATTTGAAAAATCATTGCACCTTTTTAGCTAATGTTGTTCATCATTTGTTGAAGATAAATTCATGGTTAGAATTAATTTCTTTCTATGGTTTTTTTTTTTTAAATTTTGTTTCCATGCTAGTTTATTATTTGTGATAGAAGTAATGCAAATTTCAATTCATAATCTTGATAAAGTCCAAAGATGGATAGATATATTATTAAGAGATTATTACTATTGAAATGAAATACTAATAGGAGTATATATATTATTTAGCAATGCCCTAATTATTAATAAAATCCTTTTAATATATGTGCTATATGTATATGATTCAAATTATAAGAATGCAGATGAAGCTAAACGGTTCTGATTTTGTTTAATAGTTTTAAGAATAAATTTAACAACGTAATCAAGCGGTAAATATTAAGTTAATGTCAGGTTTTTCATAATATACAACATCAAGTACTATATATATGGACTCTTAATTTTCATTTGGTACAATTTCGTTTGTTACTTAATTGTCATTAATTATTTTGTTATGCGTAGGTTTAAGCAAAACATAGTGCTTTACTGGCCTGAAATTTATTAATGTTCATTAACTAGATACTCCATCCATGGAGTAATATACATGAATTAAGCCAACAAGAATTCATGTGGTGGAGTGGTAAGTACTCCTTCATCCTTAACTAGATACTCCATTCATGGAGTAATATACATGAATTAAGTCAACAAGAATTCATGTGGTGGAGTGGTAAGTACCCCTTCATCCTTAACTAGATGTTTCGAGTTTGAGTCCTCTTTTGTTAGGAAGTGATTTACCTCCCAATGTGGGACTTCCTGACATGAATCGAATTAGTCGAATTCAATGTAGGTACTAGACACCGAATGATAATAAAAAGAAAAAGAAAATACATGGATTAAGGATAGTAACTAACTACATCAAACCCTCAAGGCACAACCACAGTATAAAAACTATTTTCTTAAAAATCATTTCTCCTTTAATTTATCGTCAAATAATTTGATTTTTTTTTGTGGTACATTTAGGCAAGGTAGAAATGATAATAACATGTAGGTCATATTAATACGCGTTACTCTTTATATTACCCCTTAATTTATTTTCATGAGTTAATCAACCCTATACAATTGGAACTGGAAATATATATATATATATATATGTGTGTGTGTGTGTGTGAATATACGAATAATAATAAGTTATACGAGATATATGTAGGGACAGAAAAAATTAGATGATATGGTAAGTAAATGTGGAACACAAAAGTTGTCCATTTGAAGCATATATGTAGATGGTATGGAATTTTTTGAAGTTTCATAAATGAAAAAGAAATTCAAACAATGTATTCCCATAACTTTTCACGATACAACGAGTCCTTCCAAATGTTAATAAGAAAGCATAATTATACGAGTTAAAATTAAGTTTGATCCCTTATATATTAGTAAGTAAATATCGTTTGAATTCATGGAGTAAGTCGTAGAATGAGATATACATAATTAGAAATTTACAGAAATACATTTATATGATTGATTATACAATTATTATTATTATTATATAATTAAAAACTAGAAGTAATATAGTATATGGTTAGTAGGGTGTCGTATAAATTATTGAGACAAGTTGATGAGAATAAAAGAGGCAAGTTGGAAGGGACTTTAAGGAAATAGAGGCCAATTAGCTGACATATAGTATATAGTATTATTATATTTATCAATCAATAAAAGAAAAAAGAAAAAGAGAGCAAGTTGCAAAATATTCAATTGTCATATCAGGATTTGTTTAGGTACGTAGTGTTTTTAAGTAGGAAAAAAAAGTAGAAGGGACAGAGAGATAGATGCAAGTTGCTCTACTTATCTTCTGGCAATTTTGAATAGATATATGCAACTTGTAATTGCAACTTGATGTACTATTTTCTAATTCATGATCCCCGTGCATCTTCTTGTCCACTTATTATTTATATTAATCAATGTCTTCACGCCACCCTCATCACCCTAGTAAAATCAACGTTCCGTAACAAACCCAACTCTGTATTTAAGGAGATTTAAACTCGAGATCTTTAGTTAAAAATAAAAGAGTACTTACTACTCTATCACAGTTGATAATTAAGAGTAATATTTAGCATTATTTCGTTTGTCTCTGCTTACTTGTTGTGTTTCTTTTTTTTACACGTCCTTGAGGAAATATTATTAATGTAGTGGCAAAGTCAGGAATTGGACGAAGACTGCATGCAAGTTTTTTTTCCCCAATTTATCAATGTACAAATTAAATATACACTCATAAAAGCTAATATTTAACACTTGTATAGGGGTGCACTAGACCACCCTTCGCCTAAGGTGGCTCTAACCAACATTATTAAGGAGGAATTTTGACTATTTTATAGTCATTTGTATTTTAAGATTAGAACACACCATCTGGAAAAAAAATTCACAACACCTTAATCACTAGCTAAATTTTTAATTTGTGACAAGAGGTGTCAATACTCGTATATATATTTATTAAATTAAAATTGATTTCTATATACAATGTAATTATCCGACGAAGGGTGTCACTTGTCACCCCTTCGATAAGGGTGGGTCTGCCCCTGATTACTACTACTATTATTAAATATTTAATTATATAATAATAATAATTATTATTATCCAACTATGAAGTAATATAATTTACATTTACTTTGTTTTGTCAAAGAATCAAACTCAAGATATTGTACATTCAACCTTAATTAGATCATGCTAGTTCAAGATCCTTTTTATAATTTTATATATCCACCCAGCTCCGTACTCTAGGTTGGGGCTCTTTAACTAGTTGGCTAATTGCGGCTTTTCAGTGGAGGCTACAAAAAATAAGACATTAACCTATATACTCATTGATCAATATTTTACGATTTTTTTTTCTTATATTAATACGTGAAATGGTAACTTATAGTACTTTTTCTTAATATAATTTTTGAATATTCAACTTTTAACTTTAAAATATTATATTTACTTCATTTTATTAACTTTGAAAATTAATCAAATTAATTCTCGAAAAGTAAAATATGATAACTATTCTCTTATCACAATTTGATATCTATGATACACATAGAAATGAACATCTTTGAGCAAAGAATCCCTAGTTGAATGATTCCCGATCAATACAATATCATTACTCATAGTGAAACTTACAAAGTCATCTTTTTGAAGATCGAAGAAATTCCCCGGCTTTGATAAAAAAATTTAATCATTTTCGAACGGATAGAGTACTTTTTGTTTAAAAAATACTCCTAACAATAAAATAAGCTCTTGCTCAAACCTTTGAAAACTGCACTTGAAATATACTCCTAATTAGGTTGTAATTTTCTTATATCAAATTGATACAGTTAACAGTGTTAATTAGTCAAACTGACTATAGGTCATTCATTTTAATTTATCTCAACTGATTATTCACTATAACAAAAATAATTTTTCACCGGTAATAAATAATCATATCAATAAAGAGCGCTGAATTTTTTTATCGGTATTAATTAATTGTCATTAATTAGATTCAATGTAGCAGTTATAGGCTTTAAAAATATTTATAAAGAGTGTTAATTGACTATAAAAAACATATTTAGTGACAATTAAGTTATTGTCGTTAGTTGGTATTACTGATTGATGATGTTAGAATTATGTTGTGGTGGAGTGATAAATACTCGTCCATTCTTAATTAGTGGTCTCAAATTTAAGCCGCGGACATAAAATCACCTTTATTAAGAGCATTATTTTAATATAAAGTTTTTTTTTTGTTGCTAAAATAAAAAGAAAAGAAGATGAACTTATCATATAATTATTAAGACATGCATGCATATGGCATGTGAAAGTGACTTAACAACTGCAATTGAGAATTGCCCCACGAAGAGTGTAATTGTAGATTTATGCTTTTCCCCACTGCAGATCGATGTGGATTACGATACTCTCTCCCTCTATTTGGTTTGATTCGGAATATTATGTTAAACTAATTAATGTTAGATATAAATTTAGATATATAATCTTCAATTATTTTTTAATATAAAATTTACTCATGTAGAAACAACTTTCATGTTTCTATTTATGTGACACAATTGGAATTTTGAGAGTTTCTTTGATCAATTTTTTTTGTCTTTTTATGTGTTAGAGAGAGCATCCCATACTTTTATTAGTGAATGATATTCTCAACACGCTGTCTCATGTGCGGGCTTGAATCTTTTTCATGGGCACATGGAAATTCTTTTTGATTTGGGTGGCAAAGGGCCTCTGTCTGCTCTAGTATCATGTTGAAGTGTGTGTCAATCTCATCTAAAATCTTAAGTTGTTAGAGAGCACACTTTTATTAGTTAATGATATTTTCAAATATGAATCTCAAAATTATAGTTTTCAAATATGCGCCATAATAAATTAGGACAGAAAAAAGTATAAAAAAATATTACATATCACAATAATATTTTTTTTGTTATTATTAGAATCGCACTTCCATTTTTTATTATTTTTACGAATACAATATTTACATAATATCTTAAAATTATATTTGATGAACGGTCTATCAAAAATCATTTATTTATCTGCATAAGATATATGGCAAGGTAAAATCTGTATACATGTCACTCTTCAATTTTCTGAAATTATTCTAAATATGTCTGGTATACATTATTTCGTAGTGTGAATATGTCACGTGCATGCCCATGTGTTGGCCCAACTTTTTCATATTTGCTTTCACCAATTGGGGCTTACTTATATTCTTCATAGTTGGTGCTTTCAACTTTCTTATTTTGTTATGTTATGGTTCCTTATTCCTTTGAGTATCTCTTCTCCTTCGGATTTAAATGATTAGCACAAAAGAGAGAAAATTATTGGCATAAAAAGGAAATGATTTATTGATTTTAATTTTATCAAATCAACATGTCCATTTATTAGGGTAGAAGATTAATAGACATGGAGTATTATATTGTTGTCTTGTTTTGCGAAGGTTATTGCGTAGTACTAGTCATATCCTGGTTGTTTTAGCTATATGTTGTTTATTGTGTTTCGATTATAACACTATTTTGTTGTTGTTGCTGTTTCTATTTTTAGACTTAACACTCAGGGCCGTCTTAACCATTAAGTCAC